TTGGTAGTACACCTTGTCTTGTATTTGTTGTATTTTCGTCTAGCTTTTGATCAGGCTTAGTCTTGATGCTTTCCGTCTGGTCAGTTATGAAGATGGAAGACTTTAATTCCCTGGAACATTTCTTCGTCTTGAGTTATCCATCGTCTGATACTTTGTACAACTCAACCAGGCTTCGTTTGGTTTGACCATGTGTAATAACACGTACTTCGTTTTTCAGTTTTGCCTGTTCTTATATTTATCTGAAACACTAACACACATGTTAGAAATAAAAATATGTATTATATTTGTCATGTTCAAAACCTTGTTAAAAATTACTTCGTCTGACTTAACAGTTACTAAAGTTACAACCATGTCATGTGCCTAAGCATATATGGAATGGTGCAGAAGACAGAGTTTTAAAGGTTAGAAAAGCAATAAAGAGTGAATTGCATGATGGGGCAATTCCGAATGAAATCTGACCTTTATTATATCGAGTTGGATTTTTAGGGGTGGCACATATAATGTATTGTCGATTGACCATCACCTAATATCTACACTAGTTGAACGTTGGAGACCAGAAACCCATACATTTCACATGACCTTCAGCGAGTGTACTATTATGTTAGAGAATGTTGTCATTATATTTGGGTTGAAGGTTGATGGGGAGCCTGTGACTAGATTTTCTACAAGACATTGGGTTCATTTGGTGAAATAATTATTGTAGACACCCAATTTCGTCCGGGGGCATACAAATGAAGAAATGGACGTCTATTATCAAGAAAAGGAGCTCCCAATCATGGAAATAACAGGACATGACATCAGAAGGCTAAAAGTCCAAAAAAGCTAGTTTTAGTAGCCCGGAACGGGCTGTTCCAAAATTGGAACGGGCCGTTCCAATTTACAAAAGGAGCCTAAAATCCTAAACTGGAACGGGCCGTTCCAAAATTCGAACGGGCCGTTCCAGGCATTATCTACGGAAATAATTCCGTAGATAACTAAAAATTATTTACGGAAAAAATTCCATAGATAATATTCCGTAGATAACTAAACATTATCTACGGAAAAAATTCCGTAGATAATATTCCGTAGATAATAATCAATTTTCTTGTAGTGTCAACAAAAGATTTGGCGTGATATTTCTTTGTTGAGATTTTCATCTTCACAAAGTGCCTAAATCTATCACTTCAAATCGCGACCCTTTCTTCATTAGTACATTCTACTAGGAATTTTTCCACTTGTAAGGCACTACCCTGAGTTATAGTACATCATATCATCCTAAAATTGATGGTCAATTAGAAGTTGTGAATCGAACATTGTTTTATTTTTAACTACCCTCAATGCTAGTATAGTTTCTTCCAACTTACTAAGTTTTGCCACAACATGTCGTACCACACTACCATAGGCATGTCACCGTTTCAAGCTCTTTACATACATTCCCCTCCATGTATCTTGGATCTCGTTCCAGAATCTACCTTGGTACTCACCCTCCAAGAATGCCAAAATATGTTACAAAAGTTAAAAATAATCTTCAGAGATCTCACTAGAGTATAGCTGCCCAAGAAAACAAGAAGAGACAAGATCATACCTTTAAGGAATGTGATTGGGTTTGGTTGCACCTCCGCCCCTACCAAAAGTTGTTTTTTGTGCACCAATTGTTGACCAAGTTAGCCAAATGATACTTTGGCCCCTTCGTAATCCTACAGTTGGAGTTGTAGCTTGAGTTGCAAATCCCCTCTATGTCGCACATTCACCCAATATTCCATATCTCTTTCCTTCATCCCTATCATGGTCCAACACCTCCATCTAGTATTTCCCAATCGCCCTGATTTCCTGACAATGAGCCCATCCCTTCACCTTCCTCACCGCTAGAAGCCCCCAACTTCTTCTCTTCATATCCAACCCCCTCACACTTCTTCACTTGGAATACCAAATGCTTTATCATGGTCTCCACCCATGACACATCAACCATTAAACTTCTCACTTAATTCCATGTATGGCTCCTTGTCCCCCATTTCACTTCTTCACAACCTTATCACTTCCCGCCAATTTCATAATGACCCACTGTCCAAACTCTCTACTCCTAGATGGCCACATATCACCCCACCTACCCCATTTCAAAAACCCCTTATATTACCCTTGCCAATTTCATTTGTCATAGAGAGCCCAATTAACATTAAGGATAAGGTTAGTCCTTACAGGTCAGACATTGATAGGCCTAAGCAGTTGACATCAAGCTCATATTGTGTAAAAGATTATGTTAAGGGTTAAAATAATTCTCTTTTGTTTCTTTGTCGTTATTTTCCCTAAATGAGTTATTTGTCTATTTGGCCCAAAACCTAGTGGTAATACTATTTAAGTGAGTTTCGAAAATGTTCTATGGTTATGAATAAAATATTTTTATCTTTCCTGTTTTATAGTTTTCTATAGTGTAGTCGTAATTCCTAATATTTCCTTAATAGAATGTCAAAAATTGTGAAAAAGTAGGTTTGAGTCCTACATAATGCACATTTCATTTTATAACTTAATGGTTGTTTTACATGTATCAAAATGTGCATATCTTGAGCCAGCCTTGGGCAGCACGCCTTGCCACTTGACGCATGCAGATTAGACAATACTAAAAACGTGTTAAGCGATAGTAACATGCCTTTGGAAGTTTGGGTGCATTATACTTGGTTTCACGGTATCGGTTTCACCCAATTAATCCGATTTAAAGTCAGATTGATGACATATCATTGATTCATTTGCACATTCAATCTTATTGGTCACTCTCCTCACTCACTACTCTAGTTCCCTGGTCGATCTAATCAATTGAAGTCTAGTTTGATTACACCACATATGACTATTTAAAATGTCTTATAGAACAATATATATCTCAATAATCTCATATGTGGAACCAAGTTATAACAAAGTTAGTAGATAGTTGAATTCTTTAAATTTGTAGTTAAAAGTTCGATTCCTCTCTCTATGTATAGACAAAAAAAAGTTATTGTGAGAGAAAATACTCACTTCGATAATTTTTACATAATAAACTAATAATTTCAACTATTAGTAATAGTTTGTATGGGTACAAGCAAGAAACTCTTTTAAGAGTTTTTCTTCGAAAAATAAATAACTTTTTTTAGTAGAGAAACTTCCATTAAACTTATATCTAAACTGACTCTAATTTTTAGTCCAAATAATAAAAAATTGTTAAATTATTATTTTAGTCCTTATAATTTCATTTACTTTATCCTATAGTCTTATAGTTTAAGATAAATTTTTTTAGTTCTTATGCTTATATTTTTTTAGTCCCTTCTAGTTCCCATAATTTAAGAATTTTTAGTCTTTATACTTGTAGTTTTTTCTTTATCGTTTTAGTTTCTATCATTATTTCTTTTGCAACATTATCTTATTTTATATTGATGTAATAGAGATTTTCAATTTGTAAGAATAAAAAAATGTATCTCAATAATCTGTATCATATGTGAAAGTAAAAAACAGATATAAAATATCGAAAAATCTAACTTAGAATAATTCTAGCAAAATAAATTGACATTAGACATTCAAAATTAAATTAATATTTCTTATACATCAACATGAAAGTGACAACATTACAAATAAAATTAATCACAAAAACAAAAAAAAATAAAAAAAATAGTAAATATAGAGATTAAAAAAATTCATCTTAAATTATAAGGATTACAAAAATAGAAAAAAAAATATAAAAACTAAAATATTTATTTTAAACTATAGAAACTAAAAAGTAAAATAAATAAAAAATTATGTGAACTAAAAAAATGTATTTTAACCTAAAGAAATTTTCTCTTGACTTTGTCACACTAGTTCATGTTTTAACTTCGGCCTTTAGACTCTCGTGTTCTAACAAACATAAAAATTATTAATGTTCATGTCTTTATGCCGGTTTTTCTCCTTAACAAAATAAGTGGGTCTTTGAAAAAAATTTCAAGAAGACAACACCTAGTTATTTCAATCAATAAGTGATTTTTTTTTTGAAACGCGGTTGGAAATGATTTCCAAACATGTTACAAGAAAATTATTTATTAGACTTAACAAAAGCTTATCTATACTATCAATAATCTATACTATTAGTAAGGAAAATTGCTCTATCCACATTTTTGGATAATATTACTCTTATAATAACTCTTTTATAAATAATATTTTTTTTTAAATTTCACTCCTTAAACATCTGGATTTTTAATAATTATCTATTATTCTATAATTTTTATTATTTTTAAAAATAATTTACAGAGACACGAATTATCTTTTATATGTTAGTAATTAATAATTAATAAAAAAAAGTGTCACAAAAAATATAATGTTATAAAAAAATTAATAAAAATTATAACAATTAATAAATTTCTAAATATTTAACAATATATAAACACTCAACTTTAAAGCTATAGTTAATAAAAAAACTGATTATTATTTCATTTCTTTATTACAATCATGTTTGAAAAGAATATAAAATTAATAATTAATAAAAAACTATAAAAGTTAATAAATTTCTAAATATTTAACAAATTCTAGATATTCAATTTTAAAGCAACAATTAATAAAAAGTTAATATTAATAATTTTTTTATTCATTAGTAATATGTTTGGAGACATTTAGAGATCGTAATTTTGAGGGAATTCAAAAAGAAGAAGAATGATTTGCAATAAATTGAAAAAGGTTGAATTATCCAAAAAAAAAAAAGAAGTTATTTATAAAGACTTAAAAATAAATAGAAATGAGTCCTATAAAGAAAAAACACACCTCCTAAAAATAGGAGATTTGGTTGAAATTTGGAAGAAAAAAAAAAGATAAAAAAAATTGATTTATTAATTATATTTTTCTTTGTCTCGTTCTGCAAAAATAATAGTTAAATACAGTAAAAAATTAATTTTATTTTTTTTTCTATGTCTCATCTAATTCTATTTTACAAAATAATTAGAAATTTAATTTATTTAATTTATAATAAATTCCCACATATGTATTCATATTCATATTCCATTGGAGTAATATTTATTTATTAAAACAAACATTGGGCAAAAGGCGAAAAGGCAGAGAAGAAGAAAGAAGTAAAAAAGAAAAGAGAGAGAGAGAGAGAGGAAGTAGCGATCAGAGAGCAACCGCCACAGATCTCCGTTTCCCACCAACCAAACAAACGAAAAATGGCTGCCTTCAGCGGCGACGAAACCGCTCCTTTCTTCGGGTTCCTGGGAGCCGCGGCGGCCCTGGTGTTCTCCTGTGCGCGACTCCTCTTTCC